AGGGTTAGCAAAATGAAGGAACTTCTGCCGCTTCCGAGACCTGGAACATGTTCACAAGGGGCTGATAGGATGAGCTGGGCAGAAAAATCTCCGGCAAGTGAGCATCTTAGAAGTGGGTGCGTTGCATGGGGAATTCTGCAGATTTTAGGGTTACTGGGGAAATCCAGGGTAGGGTTAGGGTTAGCAAAACGAAGGAACTGCTGTCTCTTCCAAGACCTGGAACGTGTTCAGAAGGGGCTGATAGGATGAGCTGGGCATAAAAATCTCCGGCAAGTGCGCATTTTAGAAATGGGTGCGTTGCATGGGGATTTCTGCCAGATTTTAGGGTTACTGGGGAAATCCAGGGTAGGGTTAGAGTTCGCAAAACGAAGGAACTTCTGCCACTTCCGAGACCTGGAACGTGGTTCAGGACTGCATATCAGGGTCTGGAAGTAGCAGGATCTTTTTCCAATGTACATGTGATGGGGAAAACCTCTACTGGGATACCAACCTAGAATGAGGGCTCCTCCTTCTCCAGGAGGCAAGTGACTCTGAAAAGTTTGGTACCAGTTTTGTGCTCCAGGAGAATTAAGGCTGCAGGGTTCCCACTGAAAGCAGTATCTGTCTGGATTCTGATGGAATGTCACCAAGGGGAAACTTGGCACACAGACAGTGCTGAGCAATAGTCCTGTGTGTGCAGACTCCCTGCCCCCCCCCCCAGCTGCAAAACGATGCCTGATCCCTTGAAGAAGCTTCTTTGCGATGCTTTCTACAGCTACTCAATCAATGACCACTTTGAGGTTTCCACCACTGGTTGAATTCTTGCCCTGCTTGCTTTACCAATGCTCTCTGGAGGGGCTTCCTTTGATTCCGTTTCCCATAGATTTCAACTGCTCCCCCGCTCTTCTCCTTTCCTTTGGCGTTTTTAGAATTTCAGCTAAAATCAATAGCTCTGCAAAGCAGAGTTGTGTACCCAGGTCCAGTAGAGTGTTTCAAAGGATTGCCTCATTGTTCCACTGTGATGCTCAGAGTTAGTTTGCATTTGGGAAATGTTTCCTTAAAGACCTGCCTAAGTCTACTGCATGCCATGATTTTGCATCTTTCTTCCCAGCAAGCTGCCTTATTCCAGGGAAGCATGGGGTTTGTTGCCAGGCCCCGAGAGACTGAGGGGTGGGGGAGAGAGGCCTTTCCCATCACCTGCTGCCGGATTCTTTGAACTGGGGCTCAACTGAATGAAACCAGAAGTGAATGAATGCACAGGGCTTTGCTCTTCTGAAACCTGAGATGGTGCACCAGAGGGGAACAAATCACACAAAGGAGAGACAGACTGTATAAATATAGAATCCATTTAATTTATATTTTGGTTAATAATTAGAATACACTTTGACTACATAAAGAGAGCAGGTTTTTCAGTGCATACCATCTTCAGACAGCAACCGGTTCACCATAGAGTCCAACCCATAGTATTTGAAGCAGGTTGGGGCATGGGCTTATCTGGACGAAGGGTGCTAGATGGGGCGCCAGGGAGAGGGAGGCAAGCCGTCTGCGGGGCCATTTGGATATGGTGGAAATCGCAAAGGTCAGAGTATTTTAGAGGCCAGGGGGAGTGGCAGGGCGGCCTTTTTGGAGGGTGCAGATCTGGCTGTTACTGACGGGGAAATAGCTGCTCTCTTTCAAGAGACACCATGGTGATGCTTCCGGTCTGGATACTGGGAAGGAAGCATCAGGGCTGACGTGAATATTACTGCCCTCTTGTAACCGCAGGGCTGCAAATACCTCCAGGGCTGTCCCCTGTGGAAGGAGATTTGGCACTTGTCCTGCACTGTCCTGGCAACTGTCGGTGTGGATGTGGAACCTTCCTCAGGATCACGGCAAACAGCTCAGGAGGCCATGGTAAGCAGCTGCGTTGCCTCTTTCTGGAACCAGTCCCTCACTAGTGGGGGAAGCAGGATGAAAGGCACACGGCCCAGCAGTTGTGCTTCCATCACACTCCCCTTAAGCTTTCTTTCAGTCCAGCCTTCGCCAGCCTGCTGGCCCCCCGATGTGTTGCTTCACAAGTCCCATCATGCCCGGCCAGCGTGGCTGTGGGTCATGAAAGGTGTAGCCCAGAACATCTAGAGGGATCAGTTTGGGAAGGCCCTGCAGCCTCTGCCTGAAATAAAAGGTTGGGTACAACCCAGTGAGCGGCCAGAAACAAGGCACGCTGTGCTTTTGTTTCTGGTTTGAAAAAGGAAGAATGCAGATTTGTGACAAAGGCGGGACAAAGAGCAGACTTTTGGAATAATCGGCTCAGTATGCAAACGGGTTATGAATGAACAAGTGTCTTTCCTGAAATGATTGCGTGTGGCATGAAGGGTCAACGTGAATGGAAAATGGAGTGGGCAGCACCCTCTTTGCAAGTGAAGTGCAGGGCTCGCCAAAGGGAGAGAAGGGGAGAAAGACACATTGGGAACAAAGGGATCGGCATGATTGATATTTGAGATGAAGCAGAGCACAAAGGCAGGTCGCAGAGTGCCCTCCGAGGCCACGAAGAATCCCTGAGTAGCATTAGAAGCAACAACAGCCCAAAATACTTCCACGGGGCAGCGGAACCCTCCTCTGTCCAGCAAGAGAGAGCAACCTAATTGAACTGGGGCAGCCGTGTCTCCCTCGTCCTTAGGCACCCCCACAGGATGCACAGGGGTCCTTGGTTTCTAAAGGAGGCCCAAGTAGCACTAACAGGAAACATGAATGAAACACCCGAAGTGCTCCAGGGTCAGGGCCAGGGGTGTTTGGCTAAGGCAGCCATAGGCACGGGACTGGGGAGGGCTCCTCTGCCAAACTGGAACCTTGCCTGCATGCCTGAGAAACCGGACACTCCTGGGATGGGGTACTTCCTGCTTTTGCGTACTTAAGAAGCCCTATAAGGTGGCCCCATAAATGGACATCTACACTGAACTGTTTCTGCTAACTAAACACTATGAGCACAGACCAGCCAAAGTCAGGTCTGTTAGAAACCCCACATGGCGGTGGCGGTGGAAATGCTGACCTCTCCAGTGGAACCAAGAGACTTCAACCATGCAATCATGTACATGCCCACCCAGGACTAAGCCCCACTGAGCCCCGTGGGTCTTACCCCCTGGTAAGTATGTCCAGGATTACAGCCAACAGGACTGGACTATATAGCTATATCTATCAATGAAAAATACAGTATTTAAATTAAGGGGCATAAGGTAACAGCACAAAGAATATTAGTAAATACAATACAAGCAATACAGGTCCATTTTCAGGCAGTAATTCTCTTGGTTAAAAAAATAACACACGGAGGAGAACTATCAGGGAAGCCTGTGGAAAAGCATGGCAGAGGGTCTACGGGGTGACCATGGCTTTGGGAAGAGGTATGCCGCACAATTTCCCCAAAGACCCACTTCGGTCTCATGAGAGAAGACCCGTTGGATCCACCCGTCATGAGAAAAGATCAGGCTGCGCCAGGCTTTCAGCCCGGTGCTGCAACAGGCACACAGAGACAGTTCACTGCAGACTGTCGGGAATGGTAAGTGCCCGCCCATTGCACGGACAACAGCATTCGGGGGCAAAAAATGGGGAGGGGACTTGCTTTTCATCCTATTGAAAAGGAAGATGGGGCAGAGGTCATCTAGTGTGTGTGTGTGTGTTTTTTTACTTTGGGCAGACCTCACTCTCATGCCCCAAGGCATCTTTGCTTTCTCCTCTCCTTCCTTTTCCTGACGAACTGCTGTATGTAAGGACCTCACCCCCCCCTCCATGCACACGCATATTAATACAGTACTACAGGCAACAGTCCTATTGGGAAAGTTTAATATTCCTCCGCAGTCTCAGGACCCTGCCAGAGAATTCTGTGAGAGAGAAGGGGTTAGGGCATGTTTGCTCTGCCACTTCAGGGACTGCTGGGAAGGTGCCCAAAGGTCATGCAGGATGGACCACCGTTCCACAGACAGCAGATGCAACCTGGTTCATCTGGGTTTATCGGAATGGCCAGTTGTCTCTTCCCATCTCTCTGTGGGCATGCTTAAATTCAGTGCTCCCATGAGATGAGCTTTTCACGTGGCATGGAGAGATGCCAGCACCCTTGGTCCTGCTCAGCTGTGTTCCTCGTGAGAACGGGCTCTTAGCATCCATTGGACTGGTGTGAGCAGAAGCCACAGAAGCACGTAAGTCTAGAAGTGGATCTGTTGACTCGGTTCATACCTCCTGAGAAGCCATGGTGAATTTTCACCATCGTTTGTCATTGTGTTTCCCCAAACCGTGGAGAGATTCAACAGTTTACAGTATGGTCCCCACACGTCACCATGGTTTCTCATGATGTTTGGACCTGGGAGCTTCTTTCTTACATTTGCTAGTGAGGACCATAGAGTCGCATTGAAAGAGCAGCAATAGAAGGGGCTGCTCTAGGCCTCTGATCTCTACTGCCCACAGCACCCTAGCAACAGACAGGTCATCACTTCATTTGTTCCTATTGGCTGAGCAGTGATCTGCCATCCTGGTTACTCCTGGAAACAAAGGGAAAGTGGAGGAAAGCCTTTCTGTCGAAAATACATAACTTGGCCATCTGACCAGGGAAAAATGCATCTGCTGTGGAAACAGCACTGCATTGTCAGCCATGATGTGCCAGTGGTGAAGCCAGGGCACCTCCTGAAGCCAGTGGTGAAGCCAGGGCACCTCTTTCAAAGGAATAGCAACCAGGTGGAAGGAGCTCTAAGCTAAGCAATATGGTGGCTAGAATATAGAAGCAGCCATGAATTGCTGCCTCTTTCCTCTTCTGATCAGAAACACACACCCTTTCCAGGGAGTTGATCTGCTGAAATCAGCAGGGCAGTCTCCCCAGTCGGGAGCTGATCCATTCATTACTTCCTATCAGCTGCAGATCAAACCTCTGCTACAGGTACTGCTACACGTCTGCTCCAGAAGTTGTCACCTTTCTCCCCTTTCTTATGTCCTTTTCATTCTTGAGCTTCATTCTTCACAGTAACAGAATTTTACCTGGGTTTTCAGGCAAACGGCTAATTCACATAAAGAACTCTTTCCGGGTTCTTGCTGTTGTACACGAGAACATACTTCCGCATGCATCTCTTTCTATATACCCCTCCCCATCTTTGCTGGCTCATTTCTTGGTAAATGAGCTTTCCTAAGCATAGCTTTCCACACATCCTCACAAGTTAAGAGTAAAGCACAGGACTGAAATGAGCTTGCATCCTAAGCACCTCAAAACAGTAAGGCAGGTGTGATTTATACAGAATGGTAACTGATCTTATGAATAAATTAGTTGTAAGGTAAGTGCTTCTCTAGCTAAGTGTTCTGTATTCTATAGCTAACTTGTATTGTTTACCTAAGCAGCAATACAAACATATATGCATATGTACATGGTTGTTTAGCAAAAAATATTCATGGGGTGGGCAGGTGGGTGAAGGAAGTGTTATTGCAGAAGACCTGCTAAAATCCTCATGGCTATTCTTTCCAATTCCTATTTAAGAGATATTTTCATTCACAGTTTCATGGAATTTCAGGTTTGCTTTCTGCCCCTGCTAGCACAAAACAATACCCAAAGCACTTTTTTAAAATTTCCCTCTCTGTGGCATGGCCTCTGCCTAACGTCACTACATTGTGACTTCCACCTTGCATGCACAAAGAGCAGAAAGTCTTGATTGTCACTGCACATTCACCATCAGCTCCTCTTTCCAGTGCAAGTTGATCGTGCATCGCTAGCACGTGTGGTCCGGCAGGTACGCATCTGGTGCTGCGATCTATTTGATTTTCAGGAATCATAAGCTAAACAAAGGAGTAAACAAACTCAACTCTTCTGCATAGCTGGGGCTGTGAGGGCAGTAATCCCTGAAGGAGGAACCCCTAGCAATGAATTGTCAGCGGCAGCTCGTTCTGAGCAACATAAAAAGAAGCTCTCCTGCGTGCAGCAAAGCTTTGAGACAGAGTTCCCTACAGAAGGAAGATGTAATTTGTGCACCTGCAGAGTTTTGAAAAATAAGCCAGCTGAGTGGAAGGTGAGAACAGATGCATTGGGTGAAACAATCCCTCCAGGTAGCCGCTCTTGAAAGGCTGTCCATTCACTCTGGGGATTGGACACTGAAGATGGGTGGATCGGGGCGCTCGGGGGTGCATCCTCCCTTTGGAACATGGGCTCTTTGGAGCAGGCCGCACAGATGGGAAGCCAGGTGAAAATACTGCATGGGCAGAGATGCGTGAGGTTGGCCCTTCCCTGGACGGCTACATGGGAGGAGCAGAGTACTGGATCACGGAGTTATAGTCGGGAGGAGGGCTGTGGCACTCCAGGCTGGCATCCATAGGCAGCAGGACGGACTCTTCCAGAGCATCTTCATCCTCCGGGGCCGCTGGGCGGTACTTCACAGGCTCGTGCTTGTTCTCCGACAGGACGGACTCCTTGCTCTTGCTGATGGCTTTTCTCCTGTGGTTGAACAAGAAGCAAGGAGCAGGTGTTACCCTGAGGAAGAGGAACTGCTGGCTGGCAGTTCTTTCGGGTGGAGGCCAGTGGCTGGTGAAGCACCGGTGGGCTGATGGGTGGTGCCTTTCTCGGCCTGCTGCCGTCTAAATGGGTTGGAGGACTGCAGTGGTACCTCCACCCAGCAGGGGCTCTGGCATGCAGGGGAGCCTGGGTGGGGCTCGTGGGGTGCCAGGGGGAGGGTGGGGCAAGTCCTCTGCTGGCCACCCCTTCCATGGACACAGGTCTATAGATCACACCCATAATAAACGCTCACCACCAGTTTCTACTGGCCCAGGCACATCTGCTGTCCAACCTGGAGGGCAGCAGAAGGTCCTTGGTCCACCTGGGACATGGCGTCAGGCCTGGTGAGTGGGGAGCTGCCAAAGTCATGGGGGCAGTGCCCCACAGAGGAGTGCAGAGTGGCCATGTCCTCTGGTGGCATCTCTTCTGGTGGGAAGTTACTGCTCGAATAAATGCGGTTCTGGAACCATCTGTGATCACAGCAGATGTACTCCCACTCCTGAATGGCCTCCAGACTTTTTAAACCAGAATGCCCATAACCCAAAACAGTGTGGCTGGTGCCTGGGGATGATGGGAGTTGTAGTATGGGAGCCTGGGGATGATGGGAGTTGTAGTTGCAGAGCCATGGGTTGGGGGGGCTGGCCTGTGACTCGGAGGAACATGATTGGGTGGGGTCCTGCCACCCCCACAACGCAACAGTGGTGAAGCCCTGCAATTTTCTGTTATCTAGGCAGAGGACATCCAAAGTAAACCTGAGGTCCTTCCTGCAAGCGAAGGAAGGGTTCGTCTGCTACTTTTTCTGCCGTGCCTGCAGCAACTTTTGCAAGCCGCTCTAAAGCAAATGAGGTATTGAAGGAGAGTAGCGAAATTCAGCTGGGGCACAGCTGATCTATGAACGTACAAAGGTCCTTCAGACCCTCGCTCCCAGGTTTAGAAACTTCTGCTGCCAGGATGGATTATTCTTTGTATCTCTGATCTGTGTCAGCATCCTCACATGCAGCCGGCACCCTTTATGCTAAACACTTGATGGAGTAGCCCCTCTTCCCTAAAGTGCATGTATTCTCCCCACGAATATTAATGACCACCATCAATTCTTGTGAGCTGACTCCACAGCTCCATTGACTTTTTAATTTAGTAGGCATTGCACTGGGCAATGGAGAAGGGAAGAGATACACAAATAGCTGTGTAACTTGGCCCTCGGCCTTGTAATACTTGCAGTGGCAGATAAAAGAACTGCTATTAAGATTTAGTCTGGCCACACAGTAAGGCCCTCAAGAGCTTTGTCAGCTCCCATAAACAGGGGGAGCTTGTGTCACCATCTCACCCTGGCCAAGATATCGGATCTCGAGATGATGGCATTTGTCAGCAAATGTTTAAAGAGTGCTTCTGAAACAATGACATTTAATATTTGCTGCCAAGTCAGAGGGATGACAAGTTTAGTCAGAAGCAGGCTCTGTGATTAACCATCTCTGGCAGATTTGAAATGCAATTACCTTCCCAGAAAACACTCCTTTCACTCAAGATCTGCACCCTGAAATTAAAACAGTCCCGCAGCCTTTTTTGTCCACCCTTTTAACGTTCTCTGTGTACTGACATTTCATTCATTCTTTTCTCCCCTTGCTCAGCAGCCGCCCCAACGCTGAGCTGCCCAGCGCCTGCTCCACAGGGATGTAAGTGCAGACCTTCTTTCCCCAGATCCCCCCAAACGCAGTACTTTCTGCTGCGTTTTGTCTCTCAGTAGGAAGACCTGTGCTCGGGATAAGGCCAATGTACTGCAAGCCAAAGGTGCCAGGCCCAGCCTCCAGGGCGGCTTGGGAGAAACCCCTGCCTGGGACATCGAAGGGCAGTCTGGAGGCACTTGGTGGCTTGTGGCTTGGCTTGCATGGGTGGTCCTCCTCCTCTCTTCTTAATATCCCGCACGATCGACTCAGAAAAAGCAGCCCTTTCCTCCATTCAGCAAAGCTGTGGGTTGGGAAGCACCTTGAGGGAGCAGATGCAGTGCTGGGACTGCCCAGTGTCAGGCTCCGGGTAATCAAACTGCAGGGCCCAGGATTGCCAGCTGGCAGAGGTGGAACCCCAAAGAGCTGGGAGAGAGTTCATAGGCCCAGCCCATCAGGGTCAAGCCCTGGAGCTTCCGCAGCCGCATTTCACATCAGAGACTCTTTGCTTCAACCAAGGAGCCGGCTCTGAGTTCGGGAATTCCGTTTGCAGCACGGAGGCCAGGCGTATGAGCCGATGGCGCAGGGACGCAGGGGCAGGGGAGAAGCCTTGCATGTGGGGGAAAGCGGAAGCTTGGAGAACGTAGGTCTCAAGCAGGGCTTGAACAACCTGATGCCCCTCCTTTGGGCAGACTACTTGCTCTTCCTCTCCGCTCAAGGCTGGCTCTAGCCCACTCCCACACTCCATTCCAACTCGCTGAGCCTTAGCAACGAGGCCCTGTCGAACCCCCATCAGTGTCTGGAATTGCAGCCTGGACAGACTTCCTTGGTCATTAGAAATGCTGCGCAGCAACCCTTGAAGGGAGACATCCTGATCAATTTGCGTTTTGCAGCAAGTAATACCTTGCATCTGAGTCCCGCCGTAATTACAGTAAGTGAGCCGCGGGGGCCTGTAATGGCATTTGAGTGTGTTTAATGAGACACTTTTTTTTTTTTTGCAGAAGAACAGTTTTTAAAGCCCTTGATAGTTTTGATAATGGTTCAGAGTCTGAATTGGAATTTGCTGTGGCAAACGCTGGTGTCAGAATAACTGTATTATCTGCTTCATGGGGCAAATAATGGAAGGAAGGAGGGACGTGAAGGTTTAGGGACGGGCATGCACTCCTGGTCTGTGCCAAGTGCTAGAAAGCGGTGGTGTGAACACCAAAAGTCATAGTGACATCACAGCGCACCAGTAGGGACGCCGGGATCCCTCTGCCCATTTCAGTTGGCTTCCATTTTGGGATTCTAGGATTCAGGTCTGGCGATCCAGCAGCACCCACGCAACTGCTCAGCGAGCAGTTTAATTTTAAAAAAGACAGCAAAGCATCTCCTCATCTAACCCAGTATTGTCTACCCAGATTGGCAGCAGCTCTCCAGTAGGGAAGAGTCTTCCTACAACACCTGCTACTGCTGCTGTTCTGTGCCATCACGTAATCTCCAGTTTATGGTACCCCACCATTGAATGTCCTCCCGACTGTCCAACCCATGAGAGCCCAGCTCAGTTCTTGTGAACTCAAGACTGCGGCTTCCTGTATGGAATCAAATCATATCATATTTGGACTTGGTCTTGGTCTTCTGCCTTCTCCCCCCCCCCTTTCCCTTTCCTCCGCATCTTCTTTTGCCTTTGGGTTTCCCTAGCTTGATGGTCTTCTCTAGGGCACCTTGCCTTCTCCTGCTGAGCCCAGAATAGGACCACCTCCATCACATGATCAAACAAGCCAAAGTGAAACATCACCTGCTATCTCGCCCTTTTAACTGAAAACCGACTTTCGGCCCTCTGAGTGCAAGGTGGGCATCCCACCCTTCAGCTCCAGTCCCACAGGCAGGCTGGCCACTTGCATTTGCTGCATAAGCGTCTCCCTGAGCAGTGAATGGCTGCAGTTTGGTCCTGTGTGTTGCAGTGGGAAGGCCTGCCACTGCCGAGAATGCTAGCTCAGCTGGATTTCACTAGACAAAATCCTCCACTAAATCCTCCTAGAGGCTGTGGCACCTCACTTGAACCCTACGCAAAGAATGCCTAGATTCTTAGCTTGAGTTTGCAGGACTAATTGTTTCTGAGTTTCAAATAAAATCATTTCCAAGAAAGAATTTAAACCAACACGGTCCCTTCTGCCACAAAAGGAAAGCAGGGCAGAGTTCATGGATTGCCAGAAAGGAAGAAAAGCATGCCCAGAAGGAGATCAGAAGAAGTGAGCTGTTTGCTTGCCTTCCAGGGGCTAGCTGTGGCTGGGCAACATGTTTCTGGCATGTTCAATTTAAACTGGGCTTGGGCAGGATAGCCCTTCAAACAGAGGACCCCCGCAAACAGAGGGCAATCTTCTGTAAGAGGACACCCAGCTGCCAGTCCAGGCTACACCACACAAATACTTCAGGTATGGCGAGGGAGCAGCATTGCCTCTGCTCTCCCACTCTGACCTGCTTGGTTGGCTGAAGGTTCATTTTCCTGGGAAAGGGATGCAGCATTCCATGTTTTTGTGGAGGGAAGAGCGGAATAGGGCTCACATTCCACACGTTTTCAGTGCGCTCCCTCAAATGCTGCACTCTTTTTCTCCTTGGCTTCTGAACATCTGACACAGCAAATTGTTCTTGCTATCCAATGGGATTTCGAGTCCCACCGCTTTATATTTGCCTCCCCTAAGCTCTCGACAGGAGCATTCTGCACTTGAGGACGGCCAATTTTCTCCCCTTTCAACTCGGGGAAGAAAACAAATGCAAGACAAACAAACAGCTTGATCCTGGGTGGGGTTGGGAGCGGGTTGTGAGCCCCCAGAGCAGCCCTGGTTTGGAAGCTCTGCTAAGCCTTTCAGAGGTTTTGTGCAAGGGAAGGAAGACTGCCTGTAACAGGTCCAGAATAAATGTTTTCGATAAAAGGAGAGAGCTCATTAACAAGGGCGACATGTTCCTTCCCCACTGGCCTCAGCAAGCCGTGTGGGGAAGGGCAGAGTTGATCCCCAGAGCTGCCTTCCCAAGGCTGTGGGCAGATGCAAAGCTCTGTTTGCGCCAGCGTTTAACTCAGCATCTGTTTCCAATGGCAGGGATCAGTCTTGTCACAGAGGAAGTAAGACGTAGGAGTTGGGCCAGTTTCTCAGACTTCTGTAATTGATGGAGGCAGCAAAGCTACTCACACCAGCAGTGGGAGATAAGGGCCCTGCGAAGGGGATCATTGCTTCCAAGATCGGGGCCATGGGCCTCCGTAGAGCAACGGTGGAAGGTGCAGCGCTGGCCTGTCCTACTTACAGGCTTCCCAGTGGCACCTGGCGGGTCCACAAGTCGCTGCACTTCATTCTCACCCAGCATGGCTCTTATGTTCTTGTGGAACTAAGACCATCTTTGTTTGTTCAGTTGTCTGCCAGATAAACCATGGGTTCAATAAACCATGGATTGGTGTTATGCGGATAACAGGTCTATGTCTGTGGATTGCACTGTCTGTCTATTCACACATTACTTGTATGCAGACAAACTGTGCCTAGGAGGAGGATCGGGGCCAGCAGAATGGATGCTCCCCTCCTCCTTTGGGTGCTTGCCCTACACGCAAGACGTATGTGAAGATGCTTTGCATTTTATCCCAAGCCAGCTCATGAGAATATTTCAGCAACATGCAATACAGCCCATGCAAGGGTACTTACGCTAGAGCCATTATCCCGTAAGGCCAGGAGCGGATTTCCAGTCTCTTCCGGCTCTTGATTTCATCGGAGGTCAGCACCATCCCACTATCTGACTCGCTTTCCTGAGAAGAGTTGGGGAACAGGGAGGGGAGAAAAGCCCAAGTGTTTCAACAGTCTCCGACTGAAAGAGGAGAGCTCCATGGCTTCCCTGAGCCCAGGATGCAGCCTCACATTTAGGACTGAGAGCAAGTGCAGCCTAGCAAGGGCAGGAAGTGCAGAAGGAAGTTGAGCCCTTCTGTCAAAACGTGATGGCCCAAGCAGACACAATACCAGGCCCAGGAAAAAGAAGAAGCTGGCGGGAGAGGCCCAGCTGCAGCCCTGCGTGGCTGCTTTGAAGGCTGTGGAAGCATTTTAATGACACATCTCAGTGACTTCTGGTATCTGAAAAGCAACTGCACTGAGTTGCTAATTAAGGAGGGAGGGAGGGAGGGA